CTGACTCCCCAGCTGCGTACCCCTGAAATTACTTTGGATTTATTTTCTATGTATTATATATCTTATGTCTTATACATCTACTTAACATGCATATATACTGCTTCTCCCAACAGAATGTAAGTTTCTTTTGTTTCTCTTTCTTTCTTTTTTTGGCTAGGCAATGGGGGCTAAGTGACTTGCCCAGGGTCACTCAGCTAGTAAGTGTTATGTGTCTGAGGTCAGATTTGAACTCAGGTCCTCCTGACTCCAAGGCCAGAGCTCTATCCACTGCGCCACCTAGCTGCCCCCAGAATGTAAGTTTCTTAAGAGAAGCATCTATTTTAATTTTTGTCTTTGTATCCCAAGCAACTACCAAAGCAACTGCAGAAAATAAGTGTTTAATAAATGCTTGTTGAAAGAATGAATAGATAAGCTTAAAACAAACCAGATCTCCTGATTCACTTTCTCAACTTCCCATTTTGTAAATATCTAAGACAGCTAAAAAAGAAGCATACAAGAGCAAGATCAGCACATATCAATCCCTCTTTGGGGCAAACGTGTGTTCATTTAAGTATTCAATTCACTGATTCTCACTACGGCCACTTCCAAGATGTTCCTAAGGGGTGCTGGAAGGTGGTAGTGGGTGGAGATGCACACACCTGCATGTGCTTTTCTAAGCTCCTACTATGTGCCAGACACTGTTCTAAGCAATGGGGATACAACAAAAGGCAAAAGACAGTCCCTGCTCTCAAGGAGCTTAAAGTCTAATAGGGGAGACAACATGCAAACAATTATGTACAAACAAGATATATCCAGGACAATCTGGAGATAATCAACAGAGGAAAAGTACTAAGGCGAATCAAGAAAAGAAGGTAGGATTACACCCAAAGGGCTATAAAAATGTGCATACCATTTGACTCAACAATATCACTTCTAGGTCTGTATCCCAAAGAGATCACAGAAATAGGAAAAGGACCCACATGTACAAAAATATTTATAGCAGCTCTTTCTGTAGTGGCAAAGAATTGGAAATTGAAGGGAGGCCTATCAATTGGGGAATGGCTGAACAAGCTGTGGTATATGAATGTAATGGAATACTATTGTGCTATAAGAAATGATGAGCAGGCAGACGTCAGAAAAAGCTGGAGAGATTTATGTGAACTGATGCTGTGTGAAGTGAGCAGCACCAGGAGAACGTTGTACACAGTAACAGCCATGTTGTGTGATGACTAACTGTGATAGACTTAGCTCTTCTCAGAAACACAAGGATCTAAAACATCTCCAAAAATCTCATGATGGAAAATGCTGTCCACATCCAGAGAAAGAACTATGGAGTCTGAATGCAAATCAAAGTATACTATTTGCTGTTTTTTTTCCTTCTGTTTCTTCTTTCTTATAGTTCCTTCTGTTGGTTCTAATTCTTCCTTACAACATGACTAATGTGAAAATGTTTAATAGGAATATACATGCAGAGCTTATATCAGATTGCATGCCGTCTCGGAAAGGGAGAAGGGGAGGGGGGAGGAAAAAATTAAAAACTCAGAAGCTTATGGAACTGAATGTTGAAAACGAAAAATAAATTTAAAAAAATTAAAATCTTAGAAAAAAAAAAAGAATTTTGTCCTTAAAAAAAAGAAGAGAAAAGAAAAGAAAACTTTAGCTGAGACCTAAAGGATGCCAGGAAAGCTAGGCGGTAGAAATGAGGAGGGAAGATGCATAGCAAAGGAAAGAGAGAGTAAAGATTTCTTCCCTCCAATATTTAGAAGAGGGAGAGAAAAAAAAAACTACATGATAAATGTTGCTAAGCACATAAACATAAAAAAAAAGAATAGTTGCTTATCTCTATAGACCACATTAAATGAAATTATTATGTTAAAGGATTTCAAACAAGTAGAGTTACATCCCATGACATACAAGACAAAATCACTCCCAGTCTCAAGGAAAATAAAATGAATTATTAAGTATAGTACAGGGAAAACTGAAGGCAAGTAGCTTATAAAAGCTGTGTTTATCAAAAGATATCAGAGACCATGCTAATTTGTTTTTGTTTTGTTTCTAGGTAATTGGGGTTAAGTGACTTGCCTAGGGTCACACAGCTAGTAAATGTCAAGTGCTGGTCTGGGACTGGCTTTGAACTCAGGTCCACCTGACTCTAGGGCCAGTGCTCTATCCACTGCACCACCTAGCTGCCCCAGATCATGCTTACTTGGATAGGAGGAATTTGTAATCAGAAAGAAAACTGGTAAGAATAGGAAGGATACCAAATTAAAAAGCACCACAGATGTTTCTCGGTAAGTATATTAATCACTAAACAGAAAGAATGTCATCAATAAATTTAAGATTTTAACCAAACTTGAATATATCACATTCTCAATTAGATTTATGTGTGTATGTGTGCGTTATGCATGTGCATGCATGTGTGTGTGTGTGTATAATCCAATTCCAATTTTAAAAGGCAGCTTCACCAAATATATTCTGATACAACTGCCGAGCCTTCTCATTGGGAAATTTCACATTGGCCGGTATATGGATTTGTTCCACGTGTGTGCATGCACAACCCCCCCCCCCCCACTTATATGTTAAGTTCTTTTATAAACTTCCATGGGACATGTATTTTAAACGAATTTGATAAAAGTGAATAGAATGTGTTAAACATCAACTCCCAGACTGCGTTCTCACAAAAATCCAATGGAGAGAAATAATACAAGTATCTTTATCCTAATTTAGAAAAGAAAAAACTGAAGCTCTGAAGTGAAGTAAATGGTCTAGGATCACATGATGTAAAACCAAGGTTCAACTCAGCGCTCTTTCTACCACACTATACTGTCTCCACAGCAAACTAACAAGTGTAGGACTTGTTTCAAATCTGTAGGCAAAACAAAGAGAAGGTGGGTGTGTGGGGGTGTGTCTTTCTGTCTGTCTGTCTATATCTACTTCCTGGAGTCCTGATTTATACTGTTTTTCTCAGTGGTTTGGAAGTTCAGGTGAGCTTTTTTTTTTTTAATGACTGGAATACTAAGATGACAAATGCTGAAAAGAGTTGAAGAATGATTTCAATTTGATTCATAGCTTTAGAGTTACAAAGTACCTTAGTTCAACCCATTTATCTTATAGTTGACAAAACTGAGGCCTGGAGATTGAACAAACATGCAAACAGCAAATAAAAAGATTTTTTTTTTTTTGTAAACAGTGACTTTAAATATATGGGGATCAATGAAAGCACATATTTCATAGGGCTATTTACTGTAACCAGTTCAATAAAGCATTGTTTTTTTTTTCTATGAGGCTTAGAAATAACTTTGTTTTGCAGAAATTTGTAACTGGACTTTACCCATATCCAACTGCAAATCACAGTTACTTTAGAAAATCACTAATCCAAGGCAAATAACTTTGATATATGATTTAGTAAATGCCTCATGATTTTTTGAATTTTCTAGGAAGTTTTATAACTTCAGGCTTACAAGAAGGAAGACAAGAAAGGCTAGAAACAAGGGAATTGTTTATGGGTACCCAAACTAGATCAGATGCCTAATAATCCATAGTTTTGAATAAGCTGAATTTTTATAAGTGTCAAAGTGACTTTGGAAAATTATTTCCTCTAATTATAAAACGTACTTAATTTCATTACTTTACCCACATCCAAATCTATGGAAAATATTTTCTATATACCTTATTTATCTGTGTTTGGATTTCAGGGCACATCTGGACCAAATCTCATGTTTTTCCTTTCTAGACAAATTTCACTTCCAGTCAGTTTCCCTAAAATATAAGCCTTATATTTTTCCAGTTGTCAAGTACAAATCTCTGCATAACTTTGGACACTGATTCTATTACTGAAAGAAGATACAAGCCACCAACAATACAGATGCAAACAAGAGAAAAGATGAAAATCTATCTGCATTAGCAACACTAGGTGCCAACAGCAAAGGCTAAGATGATGTGAGCTGCTCCAGCAAGATCTCAAAGCCAATTCTCTAAAGGTAATTTAAAGTGAGTCACATCTGTAGCTATCAGCTTGCCAATCACACAGCCCATGGAAAACTGAGTGATTTTCTAAATCACAACTGCTTAAATTTTTAAGTTTTTTCTCCACTCCTCCATTCATAGTTAATATAACATCTATTCATACTGCAGTAATATAATCTCACATTAATGTACTTCAGTATATGATCTTTTTTTTTTTATTAAACTCAAAGAAAGTGGTTAACAAATAAATACAAAGTGTGCAGAGAACACAAAAAAAGTCTCTTGACTGTGAGAGGTCGACTATGCTCTTTTATGATTAATTCACGTCTAATTGTAGACACCTTTGCTATATCTAGTATGAGGAGTCTGGGAACAAATTCAGATTGATATAGTTCCTACCAAAGCTGTGGAAGAAAATCCCCAATCAATCATCTTGTTTCTAACTCTAAGAAGCAATTTAGGATATAGAAAGGAGAAGGAGATGCAAAACAGTATCATATGCCAAATTCAAGTCCCTACCTTCTAAACCACAGGTGAACAACTATTTCTGCCTTCAGGACAGCCCTACACTGTCCTGTTAGGCATAGCTGTATGGCAACAAGTGGGGTAGAAGGTTCTGATGAGCTTATAGATTATTTTAGTCCTTTATTGTTCTACATGCTCAGAACACAGTAAAAAAGAATTGGATGTGCACACTGAAGTGTACACAATTTATCTATATGGCTGGTGAGAACTGTAAAAATAGCTTGGGATTTCACTAGAACAGTCTATAATATGAATGCTTCAAATACTCATTAGGTAGGGGTAGTATCATTCACTCACAAATAGTTTTAGAACTATGCTAAAGATTGGAAGGCTGAGAGTACCGATTACACATTCTAGCAGAGTGGGAAAACAAATTCTTCCTTAAAAGTCAGTGCCTCCACCTAGAATGCTATGAGGAACAAGGAGAAAAATCGGTACAAAGGTCATTTTACCTCTTCCATCCAATACCAATTTAATAAATTCAATTTATATCAACATTTACTAAGAATTTACTACCAAACATTTCTTACCTGTTAACACAGTAATATCGACTCTGTGGGATATACGATGTGCACTGAGTTTTTAACCGCTTTCTTTCAACTTCCTTCCAACTATTTTCTGTCCATTTTCTCTTGTTCTGTTTATCCATATGTTTTTTTTCAACATACTCAGCATAAGTCTGGATTCGATAACTTTCTGCATACTTGCTGGTATTGACGGCTACAAAAAAAAAAGTTTCTTTACACAAAAATTGTTTAATTTATTTCAGAAACATTATCTCTTTCATTTCTTCAAATATACATAAAAAATAGAAAATGTTATTAGTTTGAAAAGTATACAACCTCAGTAGTAAAAGCTAACATAGCCTCTGCTAGGTGGCACAGAAGAGAGAATGCAAGTCTTGGAACCAGGAAGACCTAGGCTCAAATCTGGCTTCAGATGTTGCCTGGCTGCTTGACCCTGAACAAGTCACTTTAATTTGTCTGCCTCAGTTTCCCCAACTATAAAATGGGGATAATAATAGCTTCTACCTCTCAAAGTTGTTGTGAGGATCAAATGAGATCATATTTTCAAAGGACTCAGCACAATGCCTGGCACATGGCAGGCCCTTAATAAATGCTTGTTTCCCATCTCCCTTCCCCAGATCAAATACAATAAAACCCAATTATCTTGGACTTGGTAAATTGAAGATTTATAATAATCAGCTATATCCTCCCTTTCTTACCATACATTTCTGTCTTCGTTCTTCAAGGCTGTTAGTTCTCATCCCTACCTCCCGCCACTCCAACCTATCAGCACCTGGACTTAAAGGGCTATAGTTATGTTCTGGCTTCCTTATCTTGACATTGTGCCTGTTTCAACCCCAAAACATAAGCCAGATACTATGCTGCCACTTCTTCTTCCATGTAGTCTCTGTTGGACAGGACATTATGGGGGCTATAAAACCATGAGAAAAAAGGAATACAAGATCTACTGGCAGATGGGCACTGCTTAATTACTACCCTCCTGCATGTTTCTGCTTCTCTCCCAACCCACACCAGTGTCCAAAAACGTTCATCTTTCTCAGACGTGAGAGAGTAAAAGCACCTCTCCTTCCAAGGCAGTCTTGGTGTCCAGGAAGTTCAAAAACACTACAGGAAGAGGAACAGCAGGAATTACCAAGGGGATGGTAAGTATTTATCTTCACTCAGAGCTTTCAAAGCAGCTACCTGTTGCCATACTAGAGATCTTTAGAAGAGCAGGTATATGAAGGACAGGCTCCATTTATTTATACAAATAATGTAAAATTATATGTGCGGATAATGGTGAAAAAAAAACTGATAGGTTTTTCTGATTTCCATCTAGGTAGCTCAGGCCTACCTGAAGCTTTGAAGGTGTTTGTGTGGGGTAGGGGTAGGGAAGTACTAAAGCTCTAACACAAAGCATTGGTTCAGGAGTTCAGTCTACATGCCATATGCCAAATATAAGTAATGACATGATAAAAAATGATAGTTATCTTTCTCTTAAAAAGTTTTATACCTCATACTTCCATCAACTTGTTCAAATTAGCAAAGTTGTGCTGCACTTATCAAATGTATTCAGAACACACTTCAAAGTAAAATCTCATTATCTTAAAGTTTCTGCACACTGAAATTTCCAACAGCACAGTGAATTACTAAAACGTGTGTGCCAGAACCAGTTGTGATTCATTCTAAAGGAGATAAAACATTTAAAGACAGTCAGCTGATATACTCTAAACTCAGTAGACCAAAACTGGAGGGGAAATTACTGATATCACACAGATCTTGTTTCTCTCTTAAACATTTTATTGTCTATTGATGTTATTACTTTTCCTTTTTCTAACTATGGTTTCAAATCTATAATTTAATCTACACCAAAATATATTTAAAGTAGATTCCTTGTAAGCATGAATCTAGGTGTTACAAAAGGGTTAATTTTCTCAAAGTGATGAGAAACCAGTGATTCTACAATCATTATGCCTTCCAGATTGCTTCTTGGCAAAAGAAAGCTTTCTGAATTTTTTCTTTAAGTCTCATTACTTAACTCAGCAGGTTTACTTTGCAAGTGTGTCTGAAAAGGACCATGTTGGCAATAATCTTTTTCTCAAGATTAATTTTGGTTACAGAGGAAATAAAGCAGTTTTGACTCAATATTTTACATAATGACAAGGATGATAATAGGCTCATTAATGAGCCAAGCTGATATCTTAATAAGTATTATTATTCCAAATAATTTACCTCTTGGCTATTTGAACTGCACACAACAAACAACTGCTTCTCTATAGAGAAGGGATTTATCTCAACATATGGAATATTAGGATTGTTTAAAAATAAAAGTCAAGATGGAGGGGAAGGGAGGAACAGCACACTTTCACTTCTGGCCTTCACACAGCAACAATTTACCAACATTCCTTCAAGTCCCAGAAGCTTTGCAGCTCACAGCCTTTAATCTGCAAGCCAAGCTTTGGCCCATAGCCATCACTTTAATGGATGAATCAGCAAAATAAATTGGCTGTCAACTGGTGTCCTCCCCTGTGTACTGCAGACTGATCAGTCACATTCTAACCTTTTACAAATTAGCTCATGAAACGATTCAAGGCCACTTTTAGGTTATACTTCTCAAAAACAGTTTGGAAACAATGTATATTAATAATCACCAGAGACCATATATTATACACACACACATATATTACAGAAGTCAATGCTATTTCTTTCACTGTCTGTCCAGTAAATTCTATCAATACCTAGCATCATTTTCAATTTCTAATGAAATTATGTAAGCACTATCAATTAAATGGTCATGGGTTTACCCACTAATGGAAAAACTCCAGGTCACATGCAACTCTTAACATGCATCAACACCACCTAAAATAATTCAAATCCAAATTCAACAAATATTTCCTATTCACCAATTTTGTGCAGAGCACCAAGTGAGGGGAGAAAAAGTTTAGATTAAGAAATGGTCATTGCCTACATGTAGAATGGAGTTTAGTAGGAGGACATGATACAAGACAAATAATTATAGTATAAAATTACACATTAAATTTTGTGAGAGGTGCCCTAAACATGTTATTTAAGATCCATAAAGCGAAATTTAGTCTTTATTTAGGGGATCAAGTTGGTGCTAGCATTTGAAATGGGCTTTAAAAAAGACAGGTAAGAACAGTAGGAGTGGAGAGGAGTTGAGGAGAGAGAGAGAGAGAGATCCATGAGGATGTGGGAAAGTACCAGTCATATATGAGAGCACTTCAGTTTGGCTACAGCACAGACTAAAGGGAACAGCGAAAGAGAGAGCTAGAAAAGTAAGATTGTGAAGGGCCTTGAATACCAGGAAAAGGAATATAAACTTCAACAAAAAGGCAATACAGAATGATTGTAATATTCTGAACAGATGGCTGACCTTACTAGGTCTACACTTAATTTTGATGTATACATTTTCAAGAGAGTTCTTTTACATATGAACCCATATGGACACAAAGAATATAAGTTTGAGAATCTATATGCTTTTTTTTTTTACTTATAAGAACACCAGGGTGAAATGTTTGCTTCATGTTCAAGTCGGTGTTTCACAATATCAGGGACTACATACGCAAGACTCACCCCTTTCAAATTTCCCAATGCAAGCCCCACCCTCAATAAGGGCTGCCTTTAATTAACAATGATGGTAAAGTCAATTTCTTCAGTCAGAAATGTGGTAGAGAGTAGCATCTGCTTTGAAGGCTCTTAAAATGGCATTTTACTCCACCCAGTTAGGGCCAGTGCTACTTTACTCACTGTCATTTTCAGCTCTCAACTTTTTGGCAATATACAGGCATATGGTCAGCATTTGATGGTAAATGCTCAAGTTCTTTAAAGAAGAACCTACTTGGTTTGAAAAGCGTCTAATTCATTTGGTGAAGACGTGGCAATGTTTCTCTCATATGACATATAATTGTATACGAAGATGAGGGGTTTGTGGTAGATTAACAGTTTCTTAAAATGTCACCCAAAATAGAAATGACAGTATATTCATGGGATGTATAATAGAGCAAACTCTCAAAGACTTAAGAAAAATAATAATAGTCACTATAAATATCCCATATATATATTTTTTAAACTAACTACTATTTCCCCTCCCTTCAACCATTACTAGATTAAATAGAAATTCTTTTGGATCACTCATACAAAGACAAAATTTTTTTTCATCAACTCATGACCCTGTAAAACACTGTGAACAGCAAATCAGTAAGGTTATATCATCAGTTGATGCCTAAATTTATACGTGTAGATAATGGCTAAAGAAAAAAAAAATCTTGAGAGAACATATAAATTCCCAAATTTATGCCTTGTGCAGAAATTTCATTTAACCACTTCTTTCATTACGTACCTAATTCAAAAATATAACATGCATATATTTAAGTAAGCAGACATGAGATGTATATATGCACATGTATAGATACACAGGTGCATTAAGAGAAAGAAGCGTTTATAAGACCATGATTAGAGTTACAATTTTCTAATCTCATTTCATGAGATTTGCTTATTAATTCTACACATTCTCTTGCATGTCTGAATACTTACATTGTAGTCTGCTAAATAAGAGAAGAAACTATTTTTTATTGCATTCTGGGTGCTGCTACTAGATTATTTTTTTCTTAAGTAAAGGGTCAAGGAGTAGAGTGGAGAAAAGGCTGTATTTTCAGCCATAGATAAATTATGATGTCACAAAATTATTAAGTTAATTTTTCCTATTTATAAACTTCATGCAAATGAGCTGATGGATCACAATGCCCTGCAGCTATCATTACTTCAGTCATTGTCATACCTTTGAAAAGATGCTGTCAGTAGAAGGGGTGGTCCTTGGTCTTATCTTAACATTTTATCTGACTCTTTCTGATTTTTTATCAGTTTTTCTTACACAAAATGTTTTTTTTTTTTTGCCCTTTTCAGGAACCCAACAGTTCACATGTAAAACTAGTGATTTACATTTATCAAAAGTACTGAAGTTTGAGATGATGAAGAGTACCATGAAATGCTTTTTTTATGATGCTTTTATTTGCCTTTCTAAGAAGAACCAGTGTGACATCATTTCGTTTAGCTCTAATTTCCTTTTGACCTCTGGTTTTATTAGTAATAAGAACGTTCATATTGATATGAGAGACTTCTCTCCGTGATCTTGTCGGCTTCCATAGGTTCAATCACCATCTTTATGCAAATCTATATGTCTAGCCCTGTCCACTC